AACTAAAAGTTACTGACCAAAACTACTAAATTTAGGCTGATTGGCAGGAGAACAAATTTTTTTAAATTCTATGTAATTATGCTTTTTGATCACCTTGTCAGCAAATTAAAGTCATGGAATAAATAAGCAATAATAATGATTAATATGGAAAAGAGGACTTTAACAGAAAAAAAAAAATTCTACAACAGCAGAGGGCAGCCCCCCGCCTTCAACTTCAATCTTTTGAGCAATGGCAAATTATTGCTACTGTTCTTCTATCATTAAACCTCCTAACTACCATTAAATAATAATGTAACTTTGACTAGAAGGGGTATAGAAAGCTATCTAGCGCTAGGCAGTTCCTCTGCCAATGAATGCATATATCAACCTATTTACCTCCTTAAGGATCTTGTATGAGAAAAAAATTCTAACATATTAGAAAAAAGTAAAAATTAAACCTGATGAATTTGCCTTCCTTAGAAAGGACAACTTGACCTGATGAATTGGTCTTAAGAGTTCAACAGAAATGCAACAGTTTTATTACTTTCAAACACATGATCTATTATCACCACTAGAACTAGCTATATATTGAAGAATAATTTCCTATTATAGTATTTGCATGCAAATGGATTAATAAAATGATTTTGGAGATGCTTAAAATGTTATTGGTGTTAGTAAAAAAAGAAACATTTTATTTCCCTTGTTTGTTAGTTTGCTTCAGAAATGCTTTTCTTCATAGTAAAGAATAGAAGCTCTAATCCAACATGTCAAAAAGATACATTATAAAAAAAGAAGATTCACATCGATGAATTTTCACTGTATTTCCATACAGCATGTTCATAAACTTCCTTGTAGTCCATTTTGTCATAGTTTATCAATGAAAAGTCACTCTCCACATAATGTATTGGAATATCAAACAATCTGAATACAAAATGTTAGTCTTGAAACATTAAAACGTAACTAAGCACCTCAAGATGTTATCTCCGTTATCTCAACATGTATTAAAATCTACTTGGCCAATTTATGAAGATTATACATGTCAAATGATGAATTTATGGAATTTTTCAGTCACAGATTCAATAAAATACTTGTAAAAATTCAGCAAAATGCCCTACTTTCTCAAAAGATTTTCAGAGCAACATACCACATTTGGTAAAGTTTCTATTTTGCTTTCTTTTGGTATTGCTCCAAAATTCTTTCCAAAACACTTAGTAGGGACTAAATATTCTAGGCAACAATATTTTCCAAAACAATTTCCTTACACTTAAATGTCCCTTCTCTTTCTGCATTTGTAAAGTGGAAAAGTGACCTGTGTCAGGACACATTTCTAAAATACTCCAATACAGTCATTAGTACCTAAACTTTAGTACTTCAGTTTTCTCATCCATAAGATGGAAATTTGAAGCTTTTGAACTTACTCTGATCTTTTAAATAGAAGGAAATAATTACATAAAAGATGACTTCAAAAAGAAACCATCTGGGCCGAGCCCGTGGCGCACTCGGGAGGGTGCGGCGCTGGGAGCGCAGCAGCGCTCCTGCTGTGGGTTCGGATCCTATATAGGGATGACCGGTGCACTCACAGCGCTCACTGGCTGAGCGCAGTGCGGCCGGTCTCAAAAAGGACAAAAAAAAAAAAAAAAAAAAA